TACATCCACGGCTCAGGTGGCATTCGCCTCCTAGTTATCCTGAACCAGCCGAGACCGGACCTGGAGCGCCTGGTTCCGTTCCCCCTTTCTTCCCACTGACCCTTCGCCAGATTTAGCTCCGGCTTATAACTTTGTTTTGTTCGTCTTGGATTTATCACCCGACTCTTGACCTTTGCCTGTACCGGACTTCCCTTTGGACTCCCTTTCGGACTGTTCGCCTGGACCACGCCCCCCGGAGCACCTTCGTCACACACACCCCGGTTCCTCTAGCAGCCCAGTTCCTCGTCTCCCCCCTGTGTGTGTTCACTCCCTTCCGGATTGTGTCGTCCACATAGGGTCCTGAAAGACGCTTCGTAACACCATCAAGTTAAACTGCTGACCATTAAAATGGCATACCCAATGTTATACTTTACTGCAAATCTGCATTGTTTTTGGCATCTGAACACATGAAGCAGTTATGATTAAGAAAACTATAATTTCTATCAAGTATCTGAGTGTTCAGTTGGAACAAAAACCAATAGACACTGGAATGACAAGGCTTATAGTTGGGAAGCTCTAGGCTAGACCAAGTCAAAGTCATTTGTTATGTACAGTATACATAATTAGGTTAGATTAGGTCTCTAACAATGACAATAATGAGGTTTTGGACACTTTTTGCACTTTGATAAAAACACTCAAAGTCTATAGGAATAAGTGTTACAATTATTCACAAATCCTGATATACTAATAGACACTCCAAACAACAACCTCCTATATCATTTATGTGATGAGAAAATAAGTTAATAATATATTGTGTCTTGCAGTTTTGGCAGCTTTACCTCTTCCAACAATAAGTTCACTTGATAATGACATCTGTTTTAAATTACAGTATATGCTTCTTATTATAATGTATTATTCAAACTACCTACCTAATGGTAGTTGTAATGCCTGAATATTGCTATGATTAGTAACTTTTTCCTACAGTAGGAAATTGATTCATTATAGTCCCTTAAACACTATGAAAATTAATCATTATATAGGTATGGATTACTGGTATTGAGATATGTCATGGTCATGGGACTGCAAAAACCTTTGTTTCCTTGAAATGTAAGGATGGGGATTACCTGATCAATGAAACAGAGTCATTTTAAAGATGCATTTTGAAGATCTATTCAGTAAAGAATCTACTATCAACAATATCATACTTCCATACTTAATTATGGTAACAATTTCTAGGAAGGAGCCCAGCACTTTCTTACCAAAATATGTCATAATTAGAAAGCAAAGAAAGTTCATGTTCACAATGTCCAGTTTGCATAGTACATGATCAGATATCTCCCGAGACATCTGTTCATCTTGCCAGAGAGTGTGCAGATCATATATTGGTCAAATCAGTAACTATGGCTTTTGTGGGAGACAATTATCGTAGTTCCAAACAACAGCCAACAATAATATTATTTGTTTTTTGGGCGTGACCATAGGTGAGAATGGAGATCAACCAATTTATTGTGTGCTTTGTCAAACTGCTCCTACAATACATTATCACCAAATACCAGCATATCACCTTACAAAATGGTGATGCCACACCAATCCACTGGCAAACCACATATTTAAATGTCTTGAAAAATCATAAGTATGTGAGCTCACACCCGAAGAAGGCTCCACAGCCAAAATGTTGTGTTTCCTTTCTTCTCTTTTCACCATGGAATAAACCTTTACTTGTTCCCTTATATGAGATTATGCACAGCAATAACTAAGTCAATGGCAACATGTAGCCATTACATCAGATGAAGACATGAAAGCATTTTGAATATTTCAGCATGACTGCTCCTGTTTCAACATGATGCAGTGAAGAACTATGGGGCTTAAGTAACAGTGTGGACAATTGGTTAGGAGCTAACAGGACATTTGCAGAAACAAATCTTTGGTGGGACACAGCTGCATTAAATACTTTGTTCAAATTTCTTCAGTAAAATACCCAGCAGTATTACTGAGAACAAGTGTAAGTTGCTTTTAATAAAGGTTTCATCCAAATGAATTAATAATAATAGAACTATTCTGCTCATTAGGAAAGAACATTCTACAAATACATAGAAATACTGTATTTTAATTGACATGAAAAATATAGTTTCAAAGTTGATGTGAAAAAGACAGACATGGAAACAATGGGAAATGCAAACGTACCTCTGGTTACTTACAACGCAAACAGGACAACTGCAATACACCTTTTGAATAAAAATCATCAGTAATGAAAGGTTATATGAATGTGACAAAAATGGATCTATTCTAAAGGAAAATAAATAAAAACATGACAAGACATTTTTATTTTCAGTCATGTTTAGTGTTAGTCATCACACTAAAAACAGAAGTAAAAAATATTAACCACAAAAAAAACACGAGTACTATTATGGGTAAAGAATATTGGCTGTCACATGGAGAGTAACTGTGGAAAGCCACAAGATAGAGGTTACAGCTATTTCATTATTTGCAGAGCTCAAATCACAGCAGGCACGGAGAGCAATATGAGTAGCAATTATACAGTAACTTCTGTTTTGTGACTCCTACATGCTGCAGAGGGAGGTCTCACAGATTTAATAATTCTTATCACAACTACAACTCTTCCAAAATGCCAGCCCACATAAAGCCAAATACTTACCCTATCTGACATTAATTAACCAGAGGTGTTAGAAAATAAACATACAGTATACCATTAACCATAACCACTGCAATGAATACACTAAAATACACCTGACAATCAGCATGAAACAGTCATTATAACTGAAATTATAAAATGTAAAACAGAGTTAACTAACTTCACACATTACAATTTGTCTTGCTCTTTGTCATCATCTTACAAATGGACATGTCATTAAATTGACAAATTACTATGCTTTCAATACAGTACATATTTATCTTGCACACCACAATAATCTTTAGAGAAGTGGGAATGTTTAAAACAAAAAGAAAAGCAAATAAATCAATGGCTTTGTGTAGTAAGTGTTGTACTTTGTAATGATAATAATATCTGAATCGTTATTCACTTTAAAATAATTTAATTAGTTATTCAACCTCTGTTATATATTATCCATCAAGTTTACATATTCATAACGTAATTCATAACATATTCATTAACGAGGACAACTTTATGATTTGGGGTTGCAGTAAACACAAATTAGTCTTTCTTTTATTATGTGTTCACTCATTAATGTTCTCTTTCAACTAATTAACTAAGAGAACATTTATATTGTAAAATAAAAGTTACAAAAGAAATGATAATACTATGCAATGCACCCTTACAACGTATATCATGTATCACACATAATACTGTTATGCTACTGTATGTGTTGGGTATCTCATTCTAAGAGAGTTATGTCTCATGTTTCTGTGATTTACACTGAACTTTATCATAAGAAGGGACAGCCAATCTGAATTGCAACATAGGATATATTTGCACAGCTCATTGTTACCATGAAAACAGAATCCCAATTTAGTGAAGTGTCAGACTATTAGAAACCAGAACTTTCTGGAACCAACTAGGCACATTTCTGTAATCAACACTGTACGTATTGTATAAGATAGACCATAAAGGGGAAGGTCAGATATAGCAGGGACAAGACTGGTCCAATATTGGAGTGAGAGGGTTTCAGCACTACAATCAATTAAATTCTGGAAAGGAAGATGTGCTTTTGACTTATATTTTTAAAAATAATTACCTCCAGGTAAAGCTTGTAAGATTTTCTTTTATTTAGATGCATTGTTGTTATGGTTATCTACTTTCAAAATTAGTTCTGAGTGTGAGCATAACAGTGGATGGTTATTTATTTTCCAAAGATTTTTAATAAAAAAATGTGTCTATCTTTACGTTTATTAGGGCTAGTAAACAGAAGTTAAGGCTGGACATGAGCAGCACATACTGTAACTTGAAAACATTGCCAACTGAAACAAATTGTCATTTACAACAATGACCTGGAGACTCATTTATAGAGCAAGGGATTTATTGGAGAATATTTACTTTAAGAATTTGAAAGTTGATATATCTTTTATAACAATAACATAAAAATCCACTGGAAAGAAGTAATAATAACTTCAACAAGAGCAATACAAGTAATTTCCTTGGCAGGTAGGCTTTTCCACCTGCATCATAAAACATACAGTACAACCTAAAACAGACAATAATACATACAGTATATGGTGAAGCAATGACTTATCCCCAGTAATCACATTAGACATTGGACTCCATTCCTGTGGAGCAAGCATGTGAACTGAGATTTCAGGATATTCATCAAGCAGAACAGTTGGAATGGTAACGGTTTAATGCTTCCAATATAAACACAATAGTGTTTTGTAAATTCTGAAACCTTGATTCAGCAATCAGACTCCCACAGCTTTCTGTATAAAAAGTGCCTCCTCTTCTCAGCATTAATGCATTTTTCTGTAATTTCTATTTGTGTCCTCTGGAATGTGTTTTTACTGTTGTACTGATTCTGAAGTCCATATTGCTGACTTTTGTCAGTAGCTTTGAGATTGGTTTATTCTAACATTTTAATTGTTTATTTTTATAAACAAAACAGTAATCAGAAACCAGAACAAAACAGAAGACCACCTCCCACCCCCATCCCAACCTACAAAGGAATAATTTAAACATTTACTCTTGTATCCTTCTCTTTCAACACACTTAATCACTGTGAATAACAAAGGAAAGATACACTTTACACAAACGAGTGCACAGATTTGCTATACTGTTTATTTTGTTGCATAAATATTTAATGAACATATACTGACGATGGTGTTAAAATCCTAGCATTTAATTACTATGGAATGACCAGAACGGTATTATTTGTACACAAATGAGGTTACAACATTAAATTATGAATGGTTGTAACTAAGTTACAGTTACTTTGTGGGTTTTTTGTACAGTACATAAGGATTAATTAAAATGTATAAACTGCAGTATTCTATCTCATTCCAGCAACCTGATACATTTTTTTAAGGAGCAAAGAAGCTGGCAAATTCACACCTACCACAGTTTTCTTCATCAGCTTGATTGCCACAGTCATCCTCACCATTGCAATGCAGGAGCTGAGGAAGGCATACTGTCAAGTTTCCACACGGGAAATATCCAAGGGGACAGCTGGATTTAGATTCAGGGATGTTGAATGAGGCCAAAGAAACTGAAATGCAACACAGACAGCATACAAACACAAGTTATGTAACTTCAAAACCTGAATTTATTTATTTTTAATTAAACAAATGTTGTATCATTAATTTTGATACACTTGTCAGGCCTTTGAATTTGAAATAATGTCAAAATCAGCACCTTCAATATATTACCAATATTCCGTTTAAAAATCTTTGACTAAGTCTAAATTCTTGGTAGAAATATCTGAATCAGTTGTCAGGTCAAATATGATTTAGCATATATGACAGAAATAGTCTATACTAGTTCAACCAGAATTTATGAGAAAAGACTCATGCATTTCATTATTTTAGTACATAATTTGGTATAAAACGAAGGCATTGGACATTATGCAATACATATTCTTCCAGAGAAAATATCACTGTAAACTGCTGTGGTTAGACGGTTTATGTTGTAAAACCGAACTAGAATTGCACTAGCCGTTTTGATTCAGCAGGGGGCGGTGGAACCAAATTTCTAAATCACAAGACTCTTTACATTTTAAATAAAACGCAGAGAAAATAAATTGAATGACAAGACTCTCTTTTCTGTGTCTGATAAGAATTGTTATAAGTGCATCTATAAAAACAGTGGTGAAAAACATAAAGTAGAAAAAATAACTTGAATGTTTACAATTCTTTACTATTTTTAAGAAATTGCTTTTTTTCTGTAAACATTTGCAAACATTTCATTTTCTGTTAATTGTTTTGAAAAACTGTAGCAATCTACCTTCACGGACTATAAACAACCCACATCAAAATTCATATTTTACGGCTTCACGGTGAACAAAGATGTGTTAATTTTATGGTAAACTGAGCATGATGTGAAATTTGGACAACAAAATGGCATGACATTTAAAAGTAAATTATCTTTTTAGGAAGGCGTATGTGTATTTAAGTTCAGATTGATTTATGTGTATATTCTTTAAATCTTTTCAAAGCGTTTTACACAAGATCAATACCGAGAGAAGCTTTTTTGCTTCAGTGATTCTAGAGGTGCTTGTGCACAAACTACGTGTGCGTGTAGCATCAAGCACAGCAAAACAATTTAGAAGTCACTAATGTATTTTTCGTGATGCAGCGTATTTGCTAATACTAGATGAATTCCATCGTACAAGACCAAGTGATATATTAGTCTTTTTCGTACAGTTTAATAGTGTATCACACACCTGATTAACAAAGCAGCTATTTTTATCCAACTTGGATTTGTGTCTTCAAATGCAATTTACTAAGCTTTTACAGAAACAAAAATATAAAACTATAATTACTTACAAAGAATAAGGTTACTTCTAGTATAAAGGTTATCACGACTGAAAATCAATGTGATTGTATTTCTTGGAGAAACTAAGATTGCTTTTGCCTACAACTGAAATAGTAAACTTAACAGTATTAATTGACTTATAATCCAAATCATATACGGTATATACTGAAAGAATGTCACCAAAACCCTAAGATCCTTCAGGAAAAACACACAAAAGAATGCTTCTGGCAAAACCAGTCTCTCTTGGGTAACGTCTTGTCTCCAGGACACCATTTCCCCTAGATTCTTAATACGAGTGTGAACGACTAGGTGGATACACAAACCAGGTTTTTACCTGACTTTCAAAATACCGCGTGAGTGTATTTCGAGGCACAATATTCTGATAAAGCATACAATCCGTTTATTGTAATAAGATCCCAAAGTAATATTTTTACTCTAATAAAATGGTTAAACAGTTCTTAATTTCGGAGTATCCACACAATGCTTTAAATACGTTTCGGTAATTAAACGTTTGAAAAAGATGGATTAGTTAGAAACGCAGCCATAAAACAAAGTAACCTACAGTACTTACCTCTCAATCCATAGAGAAGTATACCTATTACATAGGATCTCATAGTGTACCCTGAAAAAAGCGGCAGACATAAGAAACTTTTCTTTTTTCTCGAACACTGAACAAAATAAAATTAGAATTAGTGGTTCCTCTGTCCACAAGGTACCGTAGTTATGAAAACTATGAGCTGAAGTAATTCACTTCACCTTGCATCGGTGGATACAGTGCTGACGGAAATTCTTTTTCTGGAAATTGGTGAAGTGATAGCTGCTAAGGGCAGACACGCTTTATTGCCTCCAAAATAAAACTGGGACGCTATGTCAATAAATGAACGACTCTCAAAGACAGAGAAGCGCACTGCTTCTCAGAAACTCGCAGAGAGGCGAGTGTGTGTGTGTGAATGCAAAATGTAACTTACCTCTGATGCAAAATAGTGATATAAACCACGGAGCGCAATTTTGCTTTACAAATAATATACTTCTGGTCAACCAAAGCTATGTCTACTTCTACCATTCAGAAAAGAAACAATTGAAATAATATTTTTATATTTCTCATAAAAATTGGAATGTCAGAATTACAGTGACTTAATTACTGGATGTTAAATTAATGAAACATACTGTAGGTTGTAAGTAGTGTGTACTGTAGCGTTTAGAAACATTGTGAATTGGAGCCTCAATACAGTGCTTCGTAAATAGTGAAGAGATTTCCCTTTTAAAGGATTAAGGGAGTGAATGTCTACCTTTAGTGTCACAAAGGGTTGTGTTATTGGTAGCAATTAATTACTGCAGTATACCAACACCTTTTAATTTGACTAAATATTTGATTAATTTGTCTAAAAAGAGATATGTAGATGAATTAAACATTTCTGCATTTTCATTAATACAAACATAAAATGCAATTCCGTTTAACGTTCAGATTAGTATAAGAGAGCAATCAAATGTGTTTGAATTCATCAATACAATTTGTAACCGCTTTATCCAATACAGGGTTGCGGAGTGACGAAGCCTATCCAGCCTATCCAGGCACAAGGCAGGATATGCTCTGGGCTGGAAGCCAGTCCATTGCAGAATATTTAAATGAAGTGTATTAATTATTTCCAACAATAAGAAAACAAACACAGGGTTAAATAAAATCTCCTGAAATCATAACTATAACAAATTATTATAAAATAAAGTCAAACGGACCAAGGAAGAATGCTCTGAGCCACAGAGAGGTACAGTACATTAAACGTGCAGCCAAAGTGACAGGCATATATGTAGAGGGCTTTTGCACACATAAATCAGAGCTGAGTCATTCTGACACATTTTAGTGGTCCTGCAAAGGCCGGGATTAAATCAAAACTTTGTCACTCCTGCCAGTGGTACATTCCAAATGACATGATGAGTATATTCCATTGGTAAGGTATGAGAACTCAGTGAAATAAAAACCTGCCATCAATTGACACTATTGAAATTTGCAATTGAAGAATGGCTTATTTTTCTAATCCAAACTTTAGCAATGTTAGGTAGATTAACACCTCTGGTATACACACATTTCATACAGACCACAAATTGATATTTATGTTATTTCATTTAACCCTACATATAAATACCATACACAAATCTATATCAAATATCTAATTACATACAATTATATATATTGTAACGCATACGGCCGACAGGTACTGTGTAAGAGCCGGCTTACCAGAGCGGTGACGTCGCCGCCCTTCCCTGTGATACAGTAGCAGGACTACAGCTACTGGGCTGTAGAGAGATCTCTCTTTGGCTCACCGGGCTGGGTCCCTGTTGAGTGATGTGGAAGTGCTGGGTTCAAGCCCCTGATGGTGCAGGGCTGGCCTAATGTGGCAAGGGCACCTGCCTGAGCCCCTGTTGCGTTACTGTACATTGGTGTCAGAGTGGGGTGGGATAGCCCTTTGCTGGGGACGGCGAGTTAAGTGGGGGAGAGTGTAATGCTTACGGCCGACAGGTACTGTGTAAGAGCCGGCTTACCAGAGCAGTGACGTTGCTGCCCTTCCCTGTGATAGTAGGACTACAGCTACTGGGCTGTGGAGAGATTTCTCTTTGGCTCACTGGGCTGGGTCCCTGCTTAGTGATGTGGGAGTCCCGGGTTTGAGCCCCCGACGGTGGGGGGCCGACCTAATGCGGCAAGGGCGCCCGCCTGAGCCCCCGTTGCATTACAATATGTTACAAAATCATTTGTAATCCTTAATTGTAAAATCTTCCTGATTTAAGAGGCTCCTGCTGAATAAATCAAAGAAAATCCCCAATTTTCAGTGGGTGGCTCCCTTAACTCAGATTTGAGCTTAGACAGTTATCTCAATAGTTTTGCTATGGTGGTTGGTACTGTGGGGTATGGATGCTGATTGTTGTCATGTTTTATCATTCATGTTCCTTTGTATATGTCTGTGTGTCAAACTTGGATGTGCTCATGTTACTATACAGTACGTGGCTGTCCCAGACATGAATTTGTTTAGTGTGACTTACCCAGTAAGTGAGCTGACAGTGTTCACTTCATGGGTTAAGTGTACATTCTCTCCTTCTTGGCTGCTGGGAACTCTGTCTCCTGAAGCTATGAAGAAGTTCAGTATAGGTACTTTAATACGTGTGATGAGAGAAGTAATTAGAGAATATGTACATAAAAAATTAGAAATAGGCGACTCAAATAACTGTGTATTTTTGTCCTTCTTTTTGATAAAATCTCCACATTTTCTGTATATACTGTACATTAGCCAGAAGTTCATTGTAGGTAATGTTATAAGATGTGATTAAATATTAAAGCTGTCATTGATGCAGGCGACATCACTGAATTTATTAAACTGTAAGGCAATAAAAAGGAACTCCTTACAGATCATTGCACATCACTTCACTATTTACAGATGTCTCTCTGGGTGTTGAATGGCAAGCTTTAGCTCTGGCAATCAGGGAAAGAGAGGGTTGAGAAATCAAGGGCTTGAGAGATTGGCAAACAAAGAGAGACATTTGGAAAAAAAAGTGAAAATTTGTCAATAAGAAAAGCTACAAAGTACTAATTTTGATAGCCATTGTATCACTTTAGCATTGGAAGCTTCTGTGAGGTATGCAACACTTTTCTAATAAATAGTGGCAGGCAACTTGTGCAAATCTTGATGTCTGCCTCTTATTATATTATTACCTATATAACAAATATAAAAGCATGTTTTTTCTGTTATATAGATCCAGTTGTAGAGTATTTTTGTGCCCTTTCTACTATGGTTGCTTCCCTGACCTATCATGAACAGCAGTCACACTTGTAGAAACTGAAGAAAGAGGGAGCTTCTGAAGCAGGAGGTGGAATACATCATTAAAGCTGCTCACACCTGTCCTTAGAATGGCCACATCAAGCAATCCATTACAGAAGGCCAGATTATTTTTTTTCTTGAAAGCATTAGAGAGACAGTCAGCATCAGGGAATAGGCCTAATGTTTGCAAAGAAGTCTGAAAGTAAAAACAAGTGGAGTGATAAGAACAACACCTGCATTTTGGCAGTACAGTTTATCCAGAGCTGAAGCCTTTTGCATTTGATATATGCTCATCATGCTGGCAAGGCATGCCTTCACTGAATGTTTGTGACCCGACAAGAGACATATAAAACACAGCCAGAGTTCATTTGGAAAGATGCCCCTTCTTGAAAATGAATAAGAAAAAAAGACATCCATCTCTGCAAGACGATGTACCATGCACTGTACAAATATTCAGACCCTTGCACAGTTTTGTTGCTTTAAAGCTTGCAGTCATGACACTTTAAAATGAAATACACAACCCACATATTCAAAGAAAAATGCAAAAAGAAGTAAATACAGTAGATTTTTAATATGAAAGAAAAATGGAGAGGTTGTGATTGCATAAGTATTTAAATGCTTTGGTTTTGCAAAACTAAATTAATTTAGGTGCAGAAATTACCTTAATGAGACACACTGTTAGCTAAATGGCTTCTGTCTGTGTGCAATAATAGTGGTTCACATAATTTCAGAATAAATATACCTGTCAATGTAAGGTCTCTCAGTTAGGCGGTGAATTTCAAGCAAAGATTCTACCATGGTTAATGCATTTGAAATACTGCTGTCATACAGTATTTCCCTAAAAAGAGCTAGGGGCATGAACAAGAAGGTGCAAAATAGTTTCACCATTACGGGAATGGCACGGCTTCTCTGGGTGGGAGGTTACAGGTCTTGTTTTAGATCATCTCATAAGAACATAAATGAGGAGACCATTTGGCCATCAAGCCTGTTTGGTAATTAGTAGTTAAAAGATCTAAGAATCTAATCCAGCCATTTCTTGAAAGAAAATGCTATCAGTTTCAACAACATGACTGGGGAGCTTGTTCCAAACTCTAACACAAAACAGGAATTGTATGAGGTCAGACATTCTGGTACTAACCAGGGTTAATCCTGCTTACCTTCTAACAACTGACAAGGTCATGTTCCTAACTTGGCCTTCACATAATAGGAAGAAGGTAATGCAGATACTGGTGCAAACTGGATGCTTTGGTGACTTTATGTCAACAAATTTTGAAATAGAATGAATAATGCAATAATGCAACACACTGCAATGAGTCTACTCAAAATATGCAGAAAACGTGCAGAAGACAATTTAATTACTGAAATGCAGTCTATAATCTGAAAAGTATTTGGCTAATTTCACTTAATCCACATTTGCATTTAAAATGTTATCTCCAACAATTACAGTATAATGATTTTGTTTGGGATGTGTATACCCACATTTTTCAACTCTGCTCACATGTGCTAATATTTCCTTGCTAATATTGTCAATTGCTGTGCCTGTGTTTAATTGTGCCTGTATCTGATGCCAACACTCCATGTTTGTGGCACAAACAACAGTAAATCAGTACACTAACAGATATTTTGTGAACAGTCCTGGGTAAATGTCCATGTGTCATTTTTTTAGGGAAAGCTATGTTTGTTATCTGGACTGGACTGGCCCTCATCCAACAATGTCACAGTGTTCTGTGTCACTTATGTCTTGAGGCCAAAGTGCCAGATCATCTGATATCCAAATATCAGAGTGCAACCTACAGCATGTGCTTCAGAAGATCCAGACGTAACCATTGCTGCAGCAGTGTTACCCTCATCAGTAGGAACAAAGCTACCTGTGAAGCTTGTTTCTGTCACTGATGGTCTCTTTTCCCCTCTAGTGTCAGTTTGGCTGCTGGTGGTTTCAGATGATGCTTTTATTGCAGCAGTATTCTCAGGAGGAAGAGTGAAGCTTATGACTCTCACTGACAGTCCTTCTTTTCCCTCTGTGATTGAGTTGGCATAACGAATGTTATTGCTAGTGCTGCTTTATTCTTATTTTTATTCTCATTTTTAGTTTTAAAGAAAGTAACT